GTTTTCACATGGGCGTTCAGGGGCGGATGGGCCAACGTCATGGTGGGCAACGCAGGGGTAAGTCGATCCAGTACATGGGCAACGGAGATATATGGCCAAAAAAACAAGGAGAGGGAAAAGGGGGAAAAGCAATAAATTTTAATTTAATACAAACTATACTCATACTCTCAATTAATGAAACAAGCTTAAGTTGTTCTGAAGACTAACACAATAATGGACTTCTCTATATCTGACTGTGGCTTAACATTTAAGGACCTTAAATGATGGTACTAGCTTTTTTTTTTTTTTTTAACAAATGTTTCAGTAGCAGGCTGGCTCATGAGGGTAGACACAAAACCTGTCATGACTCAGTTTACTGAAGTGCTTGAGGAAATGGGGAAATTAATAACCCAGATAATTATACAGAACATCTGGATTAAGAGGAAAGAGGTTTATATAAGACAAAACAAAAATTCCCACACCACCAAAAACCTTAACTCTTAAAAGACTAGTTGGTTTCCTGGAGGTTTAAAACGCAATCCTAGATCCTAAACAGGCAAAAGTTTATAAACTTTTAAACAAATTTTCAAGTTCAGTTTACAGTAATCAAAGAGGAACATACAAAGATCTGCGACCAAGAGAGAAATGAAATACTATCAAATAAGTATTCAACACAAAGTTACTATTTGCCTCAATTTCAGCAAGAAAGTGTGTGTTCACTAGGAGAAAAAAAATTTAAAGAAATTTTGGTGTAGCCAAGTCCTATAACTATGCTTACTTATGGTGTGATACCAACATTTAATGTGTCTAATCACAAGAGTCAACCCACTATATGAAGACTCAAATCATTGGCATGGACAAATGGTTTCCCAATCATAATATTAAGTGCCTACTCTAGTCTTTACCCATGTTTAATCATGCAAGCCCAACATTAATTTCTTTGTGCTCCATGTGCAAGCTGTTAAAGAACAGATGGATGACTTTAAAAAAAGGGAAATAAAAATTGAGTTTTATCAGCCACCTGCAATGGTTTTCAGTAATACTGTAATTGATTCATACATGGGAAATGGTACATAAGGGTTTTTACAATTGTTATTTCTAATTAAATGTTATCTTGAAGAGAATTTGGTGGAAAGTTATTAGAAAGTGAAGAGGTTTAATAGACACTCCCATCCAACCCAATCTGAAATTTGTTAAAATTGGGAATGGCAAACCTTGAAATTATCTATGTAATCAATTATTACGATGGCTTGTCTCTAGACTATTAAATGATTTCTATGATGCAACTCTTTAAATTTCTACACACACATAAACTGAAGCTGTTGTGTAGTAGTTTAAACTCTTTAATACTTACGTCTGTACGCAGAGCCTTAATATTCTTGCCTCCTTTTCCAATCACTGCCCCAGCATTCTGGAAAAAGTAAAAGGACAAGAAATTAAGTCTGCCTTTTTCTTTCAGTGCTCTTAAGCTTTAACCAAAAACACACAAACAAAAAAGCAAATGAAAACTCTGTTGGGGATATCAAAATCATCTAATTAAAAAAACATCTAGAGTCTATGTGCTTTTTGCGGTCTAAATACCAAGACAGAGCTTTGGAATATTCAGAATGTCAGAATAAACTTAAGCCCTAGTTTTACAGTACACGGGTTAAAAAATTTTTTTTTAATAGCAGATACACCTTTACATTGTGGCATAGCAATACTAATCAAGTAAACTGTCAACCAGGACATATTCTATCAAATCCACAATGTAATCAAGGTATAATCTTTAATCCATTAATGCTTTAAGATTACCCACACCCTTTCTCCTGGTTTGACCTGTAAGTGGCTCACTATACTAATTTCATTTTAATTGTTAGTCAAAAGATAGAAACAGACTCAGGATGACCTACAAGTCTGTTCAGAAACAAATCTTTCATATTCTTCAACCTATAAGGCTTTAAAGGCTTACCAGAGGGCCAAATCGGAACTTTATCTATCTTAATTTCTACTCTAGTTAAGAACCACTTTCAAATTTTCACAAATAAAATTTATACCTTGCTCTGAAGCAGAATGCGTAATTCAACCATCTCATCAGTGTTTCTAGATCTTTTAAAAGCTTGCTCCTCTTCCATATCTTCTGCAGGGCGTTTACCTAGAAATTAACAGTTTAGACATCAAAGAAAATATCAGCATCTTCGATTATATTTGTTTTACCCTATAAGTTAAATTAGAAAAAGCAACTCTTTCTGTTTGAAGAGGTCTGTTGCTAATTCCAAGTACTTCTGAAAAGGCCAAAGGCACTTACATTCTTGGACTTTTAAATTCGAATCAAAGCATGCTCCCTTCCAGCATCCTTTTCTAAATACAAGATACTGTGACAATACTTCAAAGGATTAGAAATTCCAAAATGCAAGGGGGTGGGGGAACAACTATCGGCTTCTTCTGGTCTGTTACCTTTGTAAATGTTACTATTTAAGTTGATAAATAAAAGCCAAGTTGTAACTGACAGGGATCTAAAACTAAACAATCACACATAGAATGAAAATATAAAATTGTTACAATTAAAATGTTTTCTCACCAAATTCACCATTGGTTTCGGTGTTGGGGAAGGTTTCCTCTGGCTGTTCAGTTTCCATTTTCTTGGATTAAATGGACACACTGATCTGTTGAAAAATGAAGAGGCTAGTACATTTGGCTTATTGGAAAGTAAACAATGCATGTTGCTAAATATATATATATATTTTTTAAAAAGGCAAAGAAATGACTCTGCGTCTAGAACGTACCAGTTATATATCCTTGCAGAGCAGAACTGAAGTGTTCTGGGCGGGACCAACTGACACCCTAGTGCTGCAGTAGCCTACAGAAACCAACATAAATCAAGTTTTGGTTTTGATCGCTGATTACTAAACACTAATAAACACAACTGAGCTCTTTCTAAAATTTTCTTCCTTTTAGGGCCTTAAACCTTCAAATGATTGCCTTAAAAACCCAAAACAATCATATCTAATTTTCCGACAAAAAACAAACACTATTTTGCCATTGGATCTAATCCTATCACGGAAACTAGTAATTTTATGTGATAAATACATAGAAGACGAAAGGCGCATAAGCCTGTGAGCTGATTTTGTCCCCGAGCATAAATTTATAAAAAGGTAAAACTAGTGTTAACATTTTAAACAGTTTTTAGTTTTTTTTTCCATTGGTGACTTGAAATGCTATTCTCCAAAAACCTCGAAAGTTTACGTAGACAAATTCAAGCCATATTCAATAATCGGGTCAATCTACCGGAAAAATCTAACTCAAAAACGAATATAAGAGCAGACAGAACCACATTGCCAGAGCTGCCCGATTATTCAAGAGATAGTAGAGCCCTCGAACACAAGCAGGGTATTTTACACTAGGTTAAAAAGGATATAACCTAACAATTACCCTTCTACAACCAGACTGGCGATGAGACTGCAAACAGCCGTCTCTGGACTGGCAGGAGGCGACATGTGGCCTCTGCTAAAAAAGGTAGGTAGGCCAGCACTAAAAAATCAAGGAAACATTTACGCCTCCCAATCTCCACAACGTTTAACGACTAACTGAAACGCTCTCCTTCTGGCCCATCACTAAATTCACTAGTAATGTGTGGTAGAAAATTTGGATAAAAAAGTTTAAAGGCAAACAGTATATTTTTAAGAATAAAACGTTGCCGCGGTCCTTTAGTCACCATTCCTAAGACCTCAAAAATAGCTAAGTATGCGCGCGACTAAGGTACACCC